CTTAGAGTCTAAAAACTAACTCAGACTACAAACTGTCAACACACACTACTCACACATTTTCGTTAAGACAAGAAAATAATACGAAACTGAAAACAAACCAAACAAAATTGATACAGAATCTTACATAAACAGTTGACCAAAGAAAAAACAACATAAATTCTAGCCCCCCACCTAATCACTACAACGTACACTAGCACAGTTACAATGAAAAAAATACAGAACAAGAAGCAAAAAGAACACTTTGATATCACAAGAAACGTCTACAAATACAAGTTGAAAACGCAAAATCAAAGAAATGAGTTAGTGAAATAAAGCATACACTATATGATCAAAACTTCACTTTTTTAGGTGAACCCGAAAAAAACCTCACGTCGACTTCAGCCACTTCCTTGGAAACTACCGCAGCACCGGTGCTACATACGTCCCAGCCACGAGAAGACGGTAAACTTAAGGTTCCGCCAGAAATTCTTCCCAAAGAGCTGTCAACATCAGAACCACTAGAAGCGGTCACCGATGAAACAGTCGCTTACGTTCCCGAATACGTTTCAGGAATGCCTGTTGAGGAAGCATATACACCCGCTGCAAAAACACTGAAACCAACGATTTTGACTAAGCCCACCATGATTATCGGCACTGACGGAAATCCACTACCAACAAACGAGCACGGCGAGGTTATCGGCCCTGACGATGAGCCGATCAGGTATAACGACAATAATGAACCTCTTGGCCCTGATGGAGAAACGTTAAGAAAGGACGAACAGGGAAATTACATCTACCCTATGCATACTGTACTGCAAGAGCAAACAACTTCTGTTATAGCTCGCACTGCCGAAGGAACAACATTACGCACTCTAGTGTTAGCTCCAATATTATATGAAGATGGCGTACTATTGGCCATCGCAAATAACGGAACTCCGATTCACGCAGACGGAAGCACACATGTCAAACTCAACGACAGAAATGAACCAATTGGTCCAGATAACCAAGTGTTAAAAAAAGACGACGACGGAAATTATGTATGGCCCCAAAGGTCGACTGACTTTACTGCTTTAGACGTAGCTACAATAAAACCGCAGTTACCTCTGCCGACTTCTACTGGTCTGTTCTCCGATACTACAATATCATTGATCTCGGTCACAACGGAGACCGGAGGAGCCTCAGAATTTACTGAAATTAAGTTGCCAAATAAGCAAACTTTACGGATGAAGGTCAGCGAGACTAAGCAACTGCCAAACGGACATGTTTTGAAGGTGTCTGAAGACGGTACCGTATTCTTAGACGAACATGTCGTAGAGCCACAGCGAGATGGCACAGTCGAGATTTCGCAAGAAGCACTTAATGAAATTCTGCAAACATTGGAACCCATAGAAGTCGTCACTGACAAAACTGTTCCCCATATTGCTGAGTTCGCTTCTGGGGTAAGTTTTGAAGAAACAACACTTGCTACGGCGGTGCACAAACCGACTGTTTTCACAAAACCGACCATAGTAGTCGACATCGACGGTAATCCTCTGCCAACAAACGACCACGGTGAAGCTTTCGGTCCTGATGGAGAGCCGCTCTTCTATAATGAGAACAAGGAGCCTCTCGGCCCGGATGGCGAAACACTGAAGAAGGATAAAGACGGTAATTTCATTTACCCAATGCGTACAGTACCGCAGGAGCCCCCTACTTCCGCTACAATTCCTGTCACCGAAACAACAAAAATACATATCTTTCCGGTAGTCAGAATACGCTACGAAGATGGCATACCGTTACCAATCGCAGACGACAGAAAGCCAATCCATCTAGACCGCAATACACCGGTCTACTTCAACCAAGAAAACCAACCAATTGGACCAGACAGTAATGTACTGAAGAAAGATGAAGATGGAAACTACGTATGGCCTCAAAAATCCACCGATATACTTGTCCAGGGCGTAGCAACACCACGTTCAGAGCTACTCTCAACCACCACCATTCAGCTCTCCTCGGAAAGCACACCACCGCCACCACCACTTGAAACCGAGCCGACACGTGCGAAAGTACTCATTGAGGTCGTGCTCCCTGATAACCGACATTTAAACATGACAATCAACGAGAAGAAACAGCTACCAGATGGTCACACGGTAGAGGTCTCTCAAGACCGTACTGTTTTATTTGACGGAAACGCCGTACGGCCAGGTAAAGATGGTAAAGTTACGATACCACCACACCTAATTATCGAAAGCAAGTATACGCCACAACCCATAGAAGTCGTCACTGATAAAACGGTTCCTCAGATCTCCGAATTTGCTTCCGGAATCCCTACTCAAGAAGCATTCGCAAGTGCGGTAACGACACTCATTCCAGATAGTGAAAAAAAAATGAATATAATTCTCGACTTAGACGGAAACCCGCTACCAACCAACGAGCGCGGTGAACCACTGAGCCCACACGGGGAACTAATCCAATACAACGAAAACAACGAACCGCTCGGCCCCGACGGTGAGACTCTCACGAAGGATAAAGACGACAATTACATTTATCCAGTCCGTGCATTCCCGGAAGACCTCACAATTACCTCAACAGCTCCTACTACCGCAAAAATAACCACACTAATCAAAATGTCATTTAAAATATTTTACGAAGACGGCATACCACTTAGCACCAATGAAGATGGCCGCCCTATTCACGCCGATGGAACAACACCTGTGGAACTCAGTCAGGAAAATGAGCCACTTGGCCCAGACAACAAAGTTCTAGAAAAGAACGAAGAAGGAAATTATGTCTGGCCTCAAAAATCTACCGACGTGCTCGCCTCCGGCGTAGCAACAGCAAAATCGCGCCTGCCTTTATCACCAACAGCCGAAATTTCTTCTGAAAAAATCGCCATAATATCCCCAACCACAGGAACAGCTCAGAAATTTGTCGAAGTGATACTACCAGACAAGGAGGAGCTGCGACTCAGCCCTAATGAAATAAAGGAACTCCCTAGCGGACATATTCTACGAGTCTTTGACGACGGCACAGCATCCCTTGACGGAGACGTCATATATCCAAGACAAGACGGTAAGATCGAGATCCCGCCAGAACTGACGACCAAGCAAGCGTCCACGTCACAGCCAGTTCAGGTCATCAAGGACAAGAAGGTTGACCAGGTGCCTGAGGTCGTTTCTGGAATTGTATCGGAACACATAGCCACACCTCCACCAACCCCGTCAATTTCCGTTTTTGCATCCAAAACGCCACCCATTGTTGACATTGATGGAACTCCTTTACCCATCAATGAGGAGGGAGAACCTATAGGCCCTGACGGACAGCCCGTCAAGCTAGACGAGGACAATCAACCCATTGGTCCAAATGGTGAAACACTCAAGAAGGACAGTCATGGTAATTATGTCTATCCTACTCGTATTCTACCACAAGAGCCAACAAGCTCGCGCGCAATTCCTCTCATCGAAATTACAACAACCCGCCCGCGGGTAATTCCGAGGGTGATATATCAAGACGGCGTACCACTAACCACCGGAAGCGACGGTTCCCCAATTCACTCCGACGGGAAAACAACCATAGAACTCAACGAGCAAAATCAGCCACTTGGCCCAGACAACAATGTTCTGGAGAAGGACGAAGACGGAAACTACATCTGGCCACAAAAGTCCGACGACGTACTCGCACTCGGCGTAGCTACAGTCCAACCGCACCTCCCGTCACCCATACCTCCCGAAGTCGCTCTCGAAAAACCTCTAACACCGCTCACCAGTACACATGGCCCAGCAACAGTCAAACCATTTGTGGAAGTGGTTCTGCCTGACAAGGAAGAGCTACGACTCAGTCCTAATGAAACGAAGCAACTCCCTAGCGGACACATTGTGCGAGTCTCTGAAGATGGCACCGTATCAATTGACGGACAGGAAATAAAGCCAGGAGAGGATGCGAAGGTCCATATTAAACCAGAATGGATCAGTGAACAGGCATCGACTAAACAGCCAATTGAAGTCCTCACCGACAAGACGCCTACGCAGGCTGTTGAGGTGGCTTCCGGAGTTCAACGAGAGGAGGTAGCCGGCCTCCCAGGAACAACACCGGCCCCCGTCACTGGACTAAAAGCGCCAACAATTCTTGACATTGACGGGAATCCG